AGGGCATTCAAAGAAACCCAGGTCAGCAACCCTGTTATTGGAGCTGGTCTCGACCAGGTGTCCGTTCAATAAAGGATATTTATAAAATCTTTGGAGAAATTTCCAGTCTTCACTAACCACGTTTGACTGAGATACTCCTGTCAAAGTAATACTCTCAACCCGTTAGAGTTATTTAATAGCAGAAGACCATTTACTCAGGTTATTGAAAATTAATTACTTACATTGCCCAGGTTTGCAAGGAGAAAATGAAAAGGCAATGGAGAGGCAGCAAGGGAGACAAACCTTACCCACAATTCTTTTTTTTTTCCTCTACTCTTCATAACGTTCAAAGAGCCCATGAGTTGATGGGGTAGAAATACCTGGATAATCTGTTCATTTGGCATCTCATCTTGCATAACATTTGGGAAGGTCTCCCCACCAACTTTCCAATTACTTCACTGAGCTGGGATTAAGCAGGCAGACAAGGAGAATGGAAATGATTCAGATTAAGGAACACTTTAGAGTAAAACAAAGAAATGAAAAATCTATAAAATCTTTTGCTTTTCATTGACCAGAAAAGAATGAGGTATTGTGTGGCTCTGGTTAGAAACTAGGAAAAGGAGAGGAAAAAAAAAGAAGAAGAAGAGAAACAAAACATTGTATTTAGATTGGAGGAGGGAGTGAAGGGACAATCTGAATAAGAGATTTTTATCTGCTTTGAGATGTCACTTCAATATACTTGGTAAAGTAGAATATTTAATTATTAGAATACATACAAAACTAAACACACTGTGGAGTCAATTCTGACACATAGTGACCCTCTAGAACAGAGTAGATCTACCCTGTAGACTTTTCAAAGCTACATGTAAATCTGAATTTAACTAGACTGCCACTTCTTTCTCACATGGATCGTCTCTCATGGGGTTGAGATACTGGCATTTAACCAGTGTGCTATAATTTATTTATTCATTTTGCCTGTAACATTAATATGATGGGTTTTGTTTAATCATTGGACAACTTATGATCAGGAATGTAGGAGTGAGACAGACAGTATGCATAAACAAAATCCACAGTCATTGAATCAGTTTATTTTGTGTTACAGTTTTTAGGCTTTCTTTAAAGGGAGGGTAACTGAAGAGGCAAATAGGGTCTCCATGCATCTTTTTGTCTCTGTTTTTATGCACAGAAGTTCTAAAAATATAGTTGGCTTTAGAGTAAAGTCCTAGCCACCTGATGAATAATTACTAGCTGGATGAACTGTTTATTACTTAGTAAAAGATTGTCTGAAAAAAGTACTTATGAAATTGATTTTTTAAAAAAAATATATGCACATTATATTTTGTGACATTGTTATTCGTTATTGTAATGACGCTATTTCTCTCTTTTTCCTGGGTTCCCGATATCCATCGGCCCTTATTTTCTGCCCCTTCCTGCCTTCTGAGCTCTATTTTGGGCCATTTGCTGCCTGATGCTCTCTTTTTGTTAACTGTCTTGAGGGGTTAGTTCTTGGCAAATGGGGCTGTTCACTTTATAGGACTGTTGTTGGCTGAAAGATGGCTGTTGTGTGGGTTCAGTTCTAGGTGAGAAAAGTGTCTAAGGGCCATAGTCTCAGGCTCCACCAATCCCTGTTAGTTTTTAATGATGAAACCATGATTTTTCCTTATTGTTACATACTGTTCCAACTCACAGTTGAGCCTCTAGCAGGTTATCAGAAGCAATAAACTACACGGGAGAAGACTGCCCATCTTTCTCCTACACAGTGGCTCATGAATGCAAATTACTTTTGGGTTTTTGAATTGCCTTTGAATTAACAACACTTACCTCTAAGCCACTGAGCTCCCTAAGAACAAAGGAAGATTTTTCCTTACGAACTCTAAGTGGTCAGATATTTCTCATAATACAATGGCGTGCTTGGAGCACATCTGGGAAGGGAATTAGGTAAACTTCACCTAATTTTTATACGCTCACCCAAATTAAACTCATTTTCTGTTATTTTTTTCCAGTATGCAATTTAAAAAACAATCTCCCTGAGTTTTCTGCTATTGAAGACTATTTGCTATCAACTCAAAGTTTCTAATTAGTTCCAGTGTTGTTATAATTACTGGATGTGTTTTCAAACAACTCCCAGCTAATAACTGTTGGGATGAAGAGTTGTTCTCTCACTACAGGCTAAGCTGCGCATGGTCATGCTTGCCATGATGTTTTGACAACGATTCATTATCCAATAATAAGGATTCAATTGGAATCATTAGACATAGGTGTCTGTTAAAGGATTACCTTCCTCAAGATGGTCTTTTTTCTACTTGGTTTCTGGGCAACTCCTAAGAGATGCCTTGCAAAAGAGTAAAGATAAACAGTTACCATTAAATTCAACTACTTGTCACAAAGCTCTAAGAGTATATTCATGTTGGAGACACAGAACGAAGAAACAGCATAAAAAGGAACTGTAACAAGAGGGAATACGTGAGTTGTATTGTTGTTGTGTGCTTCCAAGTCATAATGGACCCATAGCTGACCCTCCAGTGGGTTTTCAGAAGCAGTTAATCACACGAGAGAAGACTGTCCACTATTTTCCCACAGAGCATCCGGTGGATACCAACCACATACCTTTAGGATTGCAGCACAGCTTTTTAAAAATTTTTTTATTTTAATAATTTTAATGAACATTTACAGAAATTTTGCATTTCCATTCATTCATTGCTGCACTTCTCTCCAGCCCAGGCCAGCCCCAGCCCAGTTTGCTCCTTTCTTTGAAAAGTAAAACTCCCTCCCTGGTACACAATCCCCCCCAAACCCCTCCCACCACCCCAAGTACATTCCACTATGCAACCTTAATTGTGGACTCTTGTGATAACCATAATACCCTGTCATACATAGCTTTTAAATTATTCTTTCCCTCATCTGTTTCAGTGCAGTATACACAATTTATCCAGTACAGCTTTTTACCACTAGGTCACTGGAGTTCCCCGAGTGCAAATAAGATCCTTTATTTGCACTAATTCTGGTGACCTAGTGGGCAAGAAGTTGAGCTGCCAGTCCAAAGGCACACAGTACAAACCTACCAGTTGCCCCCTCAGGACAAAGGTGGGTAAATCTCTTGTTCAACTTACAGCTTCTGAAAACCTGTTGGAGGGTCAGCTTTGAGTGAGTTGGTTTTGTCCCAATGGCAGTGACTTTTGAGTCACAGACACCAGGCAATGTGTCTTTCATTTTATGACTAAAATCTGAAGTTCTTAGCTTCACAAATAGGCAGATTGCTTTTGAGTGTCCCAAACAAATTTTATCAAATTGACCACTCATCCATTTGAGTTGCAAAAGCTCAATACTGTTGTCCTGAGTATGGCTTACTTAAAGGAGAGAAAAAAAGTAGTACTGTCACTCAGCTAGTTTAGTACAATCTTCACCCTGTCTCAGTGAGTTCCTTACTGACACTCTGCTGGATTGTACCAGGGCTGAATGGAGACGCATTTTGAGCTCTTCTTTGATTTCAACCACATACATTTCATCAAATCTGTTTTATTTCTCCAGTCCGAGTCATCTAAGATGTACTTGCCACTTTCAACATTTGTGTCTAATGAATTTGGATGTTTTTGAGTCTGACTCTGGATGCTTGGTAGTAAGAATCCTGAAAAGTGTTGTTTGACATCAGCTATTTTAACTTGCTTCAGCTGAGACATGTGGGCTCTTGATGTACAGGAGAAAGGGCTTGAAGGATTTAGCTGTGTTTAAGCTAAAGGAGAAATGGTTATATCAAAGTTTTAAATGTGAAGGAAAGAAAGGTAATGTTTTGGTTCTTTTATAGGTCATCATCTAAGTCTGAGTTACTTTAAATGCCTTTTACAACTTTATCAAGTTACAAAATCCTTTTTGGAGAATTTAAATTGTCAAATTGTATCTGAGAAAAGAAATTACAGGTTATATACAGAATTATTTCTAAAGATTGAACTTTAATGGTGGGAATTCAAGTGAAAAAGTGAAGTTCACAAAAACTGGATGGTTCTTGCCTCACCCAGAGAACAGAACCTCTTCCTACACATGGGCACTGTCCTTGGTGCTGACAGTGCAGGGTTCAAGAGCCTGTTTAACTTGGAGTAGGAAGGATGGACCTCAGTCACTCAGGCTTTCTTGGTTTGTATCGCCTGAACAATTGACAATTATACAAGTAAACTATTTCTAAACTCTAAGTTATTCTAAGATATTATAATAGAAATAAAATATTTAATTTTTTTACTCTACTACTTTTAAATATAAAAATAGGGGAATGTTGCTTTATATATAATTTTATTTCCCAGAGTAAGTTCAACTTTAAGGCATTTTTACAACCAAAAATTTAGAAGTCATTTGTTGTTGTCACATGATATGGAGTTGGCTCTGATTTATTTAGGAAAAAAATAATTCCATATTTACAGAAATATCTTCATATGTTCCCTGAAGGTTGTTCTCATTTCACAAAGCAGATTGCGCTGCCACTTCTCCAAACTAACTCCTCGTACACGGCATTATTTTTCAAATGTCTGGCATAATTCTGATTATTTTTTCAGATGTGTTATTTTTCTAGACTTTCAATTTTAATTTCTTCCAGTTTTAAGAGAAAAGTCTGCCTATGTAGCTCCTGTACTACATCATGCAATGTAGAAAATGTATACAATACAGGAGTCCTTTCTCATGTTTTTTTTATCAGCAGAAAGGTACATTTATTTTTAAGTAATTTCACTCTGCTAAGTAAGAATAGAGTTTAAGAAATCAAAAGATCCAGTCTAAAACCCAAAAGCTTTATTTTCTAGTTCTTAACTCAGTCCCACTTCTAACTGATTTGAAAATAAAGATTTATTTTTTTTCTTTCTAGAAAATAAAATCAAGGCACCACATCATAGGGTCCCATATTTTCAATCCTCCACGAGACAATCCTGAGCTGCGTTGTGAGGATAATTCTGGCCCATCGCCCTTCACGCAGGCATGCTGGTGCCAGTTCTCCTCTCCAGTCAGCCCTGGAAATCAGTTTGGTCTTCAGTACATGCTGTCTATACAATGTGAAGGACTTTGAAAGCAGCCACAGCCTGTTTTTCTCTTTCATGTCTGCTTTGTAACATTTCCAATAGCAGGATTTCAGGTAAACTTTCTTCCTTTCCAGGATAGGCTGAATTTTTTGTTTCCTTTGCTGCTTTCTCAGCCAAATTTGATTGTTTGGGTTTGGGGATGGTCTTAGCATATTCCAAAGCCTGAAAACACAAAGATAAAATGTTATCTGAAATAAGAAGTCTTAGGAAATGCTTATTTACAACATAAAAGGAGAGTATGACTCCAGCCACTTAACAATGACCGAGATGAAATAGAGATCAAATGGTGAATGAAATATAACATACAGTTTAACAAAATACACTAACCACAAAACAATATGTTGGAGTAAAAATAGTCGAAGAAGAATAGATAGTGTGTACATGGGATATTTTCTCTGTAAGTCTGAATTTCCTTCAAGTGTTTAGAAACAGATTGTTTAACGTGCTTTTAAACTCCATTTTTGGCAGTCTTTTTTTTAACTTAAAATATTATTTTATTGTATATTCATACACCTATACAATAAGATTAAAATATTTCAAGAATTTTGTCATGACAAAGTTGAAGTAAAGTAAATTTCTGTGATCTTTCTTAAAAAATTAAGAAATCTTAAAATATGATCATTTTGCCACTTGAGAGCCTGGCTTATAAGTATTATAGTGTTACTATATATATATATTTTTTTTTTAGATTTTTCTTTTTTTTGGCAGTCTTATTAAAACCAAACTTTTATTAAAGAGACAGCAAGAGATATTCACATCGAAAGAGACCTTTTTACAGCTTGCTACCAAAGATATTGCTTCATAAAAAAATTTGAGCTTACACTAGATCAGATATTCTTGTTCTTAGAACTCTAGAAATTATGAGAGATTGAAAATGACTTTTTCTAGGGGAGCTCTGGTGGCCTAGTGGCAAGAAGCTGCAACTACAATCCCAGCGGTGCACAGTTCGAATCCACCAGATGCTGTGCCGGGGAAGGAGGGGCAATCTCCTCCTGTACCAGTCAGATCTGATTTGACGGTACACGCACACAAAAATAATAAAAAAAATATTAAAAAAAAGAAAATAACTTTTTCTTTAGTATGTCCATTGAAACTTATACACTGAAAAAAGCCATCTGTGTGTGTGTGTGATATCAGTTCTAAAGGCAGTACCATGGAAATTAGATGGCTGAATATAATTTAAAAAACTTCCTTTGTATCAGTTTTATTAATGAACAAGAGTTTCTTTTTTTTCTATATTTTATTAATTTTCATAAACATTTACAGAGATTTTGGGTTTCCATTCATTCATTGTTGCACTATTCTCTTTACCCTCCTCCCAGTTTGTTCTTGTCCAAATGCCACAGTGCTTGTCAAAGCCAGTTCTGATTAATCTTCTTTGTCAGTGTGTCCTTTGCCATTCCCTATCACTCCTCCCTGAGAGAGACTTCACCCTGAGTCATAAGGAAAAGGGGATGGCGTATTCTCTTAGCTACTTCCTGCTGAAAAGGGACGCTGTGGGTTTCAGGGTGAAGATCTTCTCTCACTACTCTAAAGGGCCCCTTTGGCAGTAGGAAACACATAGACTATTATGGAGATTGATTTTGGAATTTAGATGCACTCTTATTGATTGTGCTTGGCCGTACATTGAACAAGAGTTTCTTGATACGTGAAATAGGAATGGACACTATTGCTTAGATCCTGGGAGAGGGAAAAACTCCAAAACACAGAAAATCTCTAGACCTCCAAGTGTGTATAGATGCTTTATTTAGTAATTTCTGATTATATAATTGTTGCTTGAATCTCTTTATGAAAAATAAATGAATTGGAGGAAAAGAAAAAGTGGCACTGTAACTCAATTAAGTGCATTGAGGCCTTCAAGGTCTGGGAAAGAACAGCAATAAATAGAAAAGATGATGGTCTGTGAAAGAGCACATGGAGTACAAATTTCTGAAAGCATGGAATGATCACTTGTCCCTCACACAAAGGGCCCATGTCCTCTGTGGGATTGGACAGACCATTGAGGCAGAGGCTTGTACTGCAAAACTCTGTGTCTCTGTAATACATATTTCATTAGCATCATAACTTCTTGTTGGATGTTATCTGAGAGAGAGGACATTCTGTATTTTATGGAATTCCTTTTCTTAGATAGAAAGGGATTGCTGCTGAGTTGACCCCAACTCTTGGTGACACAGATGTGTCAGACCAGAAGCTCTGCAGGGTTTCTAGTGACTGATATTTGGGCAGGAGGTCACCAGGCCAGTCTTAGTGGAATGCTTCTGGGTGGACCTGAGTCTCCATTCTTTTAGTCAGAAGCTGAACATGTTACCTATATCCACAACCCAGAAACTCCCTCTTGGAAAAATTAGTGGAGTTAATTAGAAAGCAACAATAAAAACCTTTTCTTTGACACCAACAAACAAACTTAATTCATTGCCTTAGAGTCAGAACTGACTTGTCGCTGACCCTCCAGGGGGTTTTTGGAGGCTGTAAACTACATGAGAGGAGATTACTCATCTTTCTCCCAAGGAACAACTTTTGTACTGAAACCATTTGTCTTAGTGACTGGAAGTGCAATTCCTTACCCTCTAGGCCATAGGAGTGAGTAAACAGCAAAAAAGCATCAATTAGTAAAATGACTTATTTAATGGTAGAAAATGAAATTGGTAGTTAATGAGGATTGCTTATATCTTCTTAGAACTCACTTTATTTTTGAACTTTCATGAGTGACAAACTTAAAATAATAAGGAGAAAACAAATGGATGATAAAAGACGATGACCAATCTTACATTATTGTTTGCATACATGCCATAGTGGCATCAGTATCTGTGAATGGTACGTAGCTACAGGTATGACAGTAGCTAAAACATCTCTGTTAAAAAAATGTGAATTTATTGTTATGAGGTAATAAAATTTTCCTTTTGAATTATTCTTACTGAAAAGGGATTTACGTCCTTCTCCCAGGATTTACTTTTCAGCCAAAACAAGAAAGAGACCTAAAGATTGAACATAACACTGACAGGGACATGTTCTTCAGCACAATCTACTGTGAGACCAGAAGGGCAGCATTTGCCGAAACACACAGTTCAGCAGGCAAAAAGGGGCCAGGAAGCTGGGCACATAGAAACACGGGCCCCAGGAAAGCAGGAGGAAAGGTGCTCTCACATTGAGGAGCTTGCCACTAATGACAGAAAACATGGTGTGTACAAATTGTAGAATGGAAAACTTAGCACTCTGTAAGCTTTCACTCAAACCACATGAAGAGACAGCGAAAGAGAGATTGTGAGAGAGAAAGAAAGATAACAAGTTCCTGGGTTACAAATGTCCAGCTGACTTTGGGATACTCAAAGTTGTCCTTTAATGTTATAGCAATTGCCCTTATATTTAAATGATTAAACTTGTCCCTAGTCTTAGCAGATTCATGCTCAGCATTTAAATTCTTGAAAAAGGCTTTGAGCTTGTTTCCTCCCAGCTGCATATGGAAAAAAAAGAGGCTAAATAAGAATGCTGAGTACTTGTTCTCACTGACCTACACATCTAACTTAAACATTACAGTTAATCAAGAATAGATCTTGCTCATAACAGGTGACTGCCTTCATTGGAATTTCTTACCTTCTGCCGAGGGACAGCGGGTTTAGTCTCAGTTTTTGCTGTTTGTGGTTTTGACATGATGGATAATGTCTTCATATTGAATTCCTTAACTTGTTTTGCATATTCCTTCTGCTGTATTAATTTTTGCATCTGTTCAGAGAAGCAAAAGTCTGATGAGTCACAGACCCTGTAGATCTCACTGCTCTCTATTTAAAGAGACACACCACGAGAAATGTGCCCCAGCGCAGCAGCAAAGGAGATGGGTGTTGCCAGGCATAAGGTGAAACAGGGAAAGGGTTAAGTGGATGCTTCTGGCAAGTCTGTCTCTGAGAAGAGCGGCCCTGAATAGCATTCTCGCTGTTCCTTTAACAGCAGCTAAATCACATTCAGCCCTTCTTTGTTGCATTTACCCAATTTATTTTCATTTTTGCTTCCAACTTTGAACTATACTCTCTTTTTATGCCTTGAGTGCAACTGCAGTTAAAACACATTAAATGAAGATCTCCCTTCACAAGAGGAAGCAGAATAAAGTGATGCACTTTTCAGGGGCTGGACCACTCTTATCCAGAGTCTCTTCTCTGTAGCCAATCTGGAAAATGACCAAGATGACTCTTGTCGGGTAAGCCCAACAACCACATAATACACACATCTCTCTTCATGTGCTCATGCTTCCCTTCTCGGCTCAGGCCTTTAAAACTAAGGGGAGTATACATAAAATGACATTGGTTGAGTGTTTTTATTTTACAGGGAAAAAGAGTGTCTGGATTTCTATTATCAAGGTAATTTTAAGGGGATCTCTTTTGGGAGCAGAAGTGGCATCCACATCCTAAACAACATGCCTCCGGAAACTCTATGAGATTTGATAAATGTTGATAGTTATAGAAAAGCTTTAGGGGCTTTTGTTCAGAGGGATGCTATGAGTCATTCTTGACACAACGGCAGTCAACAACAACTGCTTAGAGTGAGATGTTTGAGTTAGGGTTGGCTTGGGATACCACCTTTACACGGTCTTGCTAACAGAGCTGTGGAGTTCATGGCCGAAAGTGCAGTATGAGCATCACACTCACTTTATCTCTGATGGACTCAAAGTCAGGTCCGAGGCCTCCAAGCTTCACATCTCTTTTCTGATAACCCTTCAGCCTGGAACTCTAAAAAAGACAACCACAGAGACAATTTCTTTGAAGTGCTCATAGGTCTGCCCAACTTGCCACAGCCACAGAAAGAAAAAAGGAGAGAAGTTAAATGAGGAATGGGAAGACTGCAGATTGTGTTGGAATGTGGATGCATAGCCTCAAAACTCTTCCACTTCAGTGGTAGTTAGTGATGAGAGTCTCTTTGGTCATTTGTAGCTGGTTCGCTATCATGTTTCAAATTTTCTACTTCTGCAATAGAAAACAACTGAATTCCTGAAAATTATAAATAAAAAGAATTCAAGCTAGTAAATTGCTGTTTTGTTATTAATGCTTTTTAATATAATATTCATCATTATTTTGCTGCCGCTCTTGTTACGTCCAGTGTGGCCACTAAACCAAGGGTCTCCCCTGCAAGAGGCATTCTACGTAAGAGACAAACACATAACTTCACAGAGTGTGTCTAGTCTCTTGCTGCCAGGTTGCTATGGTTGTTGTTCAGTGTTGTGAGTTGACTATAGCTCACAGTGACCCTATGAATAACAGATCTGAACTTGGCCCTGTCCTGTGCCACAGTATGATACTATTGGATGGAAGCAGAGAAGGTAGCAACTTTAAAATTTTTATTGATAGTTAGAAACAAATTGGTAATTTTAAAGGAAAAAAACCCAACCCAACTCATGTGCAGTGTAAATGCAAAGTAAACATTAAGGGACTTGGCAAGTTCCACTGGGAAGCAAATCTTGTTCCAGCATGAGGACATTGATACAACTCATTGGTATTACTCATTCGACAGGGAAGAATAATAGAGTAAAAGAATCCAATTATTAAATCATAGCATTTGAACACACAACCAGAGAACATACTCTCATGACTTTAGGGCAGATAAAGAAATCCCCCAAATTGCTGCTTTCAACATTAGAATGGAAGGTCAGATTTGTCACTTGTAGTAGGTCCCCTGTGGGGTAACCAAATCCTTCCCCCCCTACTCCAATCAGTTCACGAATTTGATTTTCTTCCTTGGGAAGGTAGGAGAAACAATGTTGAAGGAGATGCCTTGGCTGGCAGTATATACCCGGGGCCTGTTGGAATTGATGCTTGTAAGGGAGAAAGACAAGTCCTGCTGAAGAAGCAGCTGTTCTGAAGTTGTGGTGATGACACCGCTTCTCAAGATGCTAATGATGAGGTGTATAATATTTGTATATAACTGAAAGCTTTTTCCGTTTTTCAGCCCTCATCCACTCTCTTATTGTTGTCAAGTCTGAGCTGACTCAACACTGACTCTTCCGTGGGTTTTCAGAGGCAGTAAATCTCACAGGAGGAGACTGCCCACACTCTCCCACAGTGCTGATAGATTTGAACTATGCTTACCTTTGGGTTGGCAGTTCAACTCCTCAATACTATACTACCAAAGCTCCTTCATCAAGCACAAACATATATAATGTATCTAATATGCCCTTTTCTAAGATGGAATTTGGCAGAGGTACCACAGAGACTTAAAACGAACATTTATCATATTAGATCAGTTCATGCCCATAATTCCACAATCTTAAAAATGAATGTATGTATCATATATACATTGTATTAACAGTTACAAGAATAGGCTCTACTCATTTCTAACTAGTGGTCCCCAAGAGGTCCCATTTATTAGCTTCTCCATGGCCACTTCTTACTAGTGGGTTCCAAAGCCAAATCCTCTCGATGCACTGAGCCCTGGCTCAGAGGCATCAGTGGAAACTTGCAGGAAGCTTTTTTGCGGAGAAAGGTGACCCGTTCCCTCTTTCACACCTCAATGGCAATCTCACAGTTAAGAGGGGGAAATCAGGACAATCACACAAACACTCCTTTGAAGGATTGAGCTCCAGAACCACCTAATGTGGATTAAATGCAGGTAAAAAGGAACAAACCCCACATTCTTTAAATCACTAAAACTGGCACTTCTGTTTCTTGTAGTTGAAAGTAACCTTTTTTAACAGCTCAATACTTCATTTGTCTTAATTCAGAAGGGCATATAATTCATATAATTTAGGCAACACTTTTCTACATTCAAAGATTAAACATTCTGCTCATACACTTTGCCAGTCAGAATATTAAACATCTACAGTCAAAACACTGTTACTCAAAACGCAAGCAAACTCATTGCTGTTGAGATGGAGCAGACTCAGCGCTCACCCTTCAGGCAATTCAGAGACTGTGAATGGCATGGGTGGACACTGCCCATCTTTCTCCCACGGAGCAGCTGGCAGGTTTGAACCCCTAGAAAGCTGCCACCTTTGGATAAGCAATGAGACTCCGAGGTGCCCAATTCTAAAAAAGTGAGGAAATTCTTTTAAAGGAAGGCTTTGGACTAACATGGACAAAACCTTATAGCCTTAAAGTGACAGAAGAAATACTGTTCATTGAAGGGCATTTGAAAACCCTAAATCTTTTTTACTGGAACTAAAGTCACCAACCAGCAAAACCACTATTAATACCCATGTCCAGTCCTTCATATCTATTTTCTCATACTTTTATAAAATTATCTATATAAAAATTATTTACATCCATATCCAAGTCATGGAACTACACAAAACAAAAGAGAAACTTAAAAAACCCAATGAAACAAAAAAACTATTTGCATCACATAATTTCACTAAGAATTTTAACATTACCCCTTATTTCTGAATTTTTTTCAAAGTTGTGATTTTTGTGCCTAACATTCATTGCCTAGTACAGTAGAATTATTTCATTTAGCAAGCTGTGCCAGAAATAAGTGACTTTTTTTGTGGGTAACTTGATTATTTCTGAAAGAAATTAATAGAATTGTAACTACTAAGACAAAATGATGAACTTAATGTAAGACTGTTTCCCCCACCCCCCAAACTTTATTCACACAGGGCACACACATTTTAAAACCTTTGCTGGTTTTAAATACAAACAACTTGGATATCTTATTCTTTGTGATTGCAAATTTGTACTTTCTTTCACATATGCCCTCTATACCATTGTTTGCAAACTCTAAATTTCTACCAGGGAGCTTTGGTGGTTGTCCACAGGGAGCAACTGCTGACCCGAAGGCCTTCCTTCTTTAATGGTTTGAATCCACCTAAGGCTTCGAAGGAGAAAGATGAGAAGTCTCTTTCCATTCAATGTACAACCTCTGAAACTCAATGGAAGGTCAGCTTTGAGTTGGTTCCAACTTCACAGTAATGAGTTTTACTTACTTTTAATGAGAAATGACTATGATTTGCCAAAGTGAACCAATAATGAATAAGAAGGTACAAACCCTGCTCACATCCAAATCACAAATCCAATTTGTCCAGAACTGACAGGGAAGAAATGATCAGTGCCCACAAATCATATCCTTGGTGTCAAGCAGCTTAACTTCTTAACTTTTAATCATTCCACTGACTCACAAAAGACACGGTGAAGCATGAATAATTGCTCACTACCCTCCAGCCACAGTTCTTGCTGTCACTGTGAACAGACACATTGGCTATCATGGAAAAAGAGAGCCCGAGGTCTTTTTCATCCAGGTGGGAAGGGCAAGTGTGGTCAGAGGGTCTATCTCTCCGTGGCCTGACACAGTCACCGTGAGCCTTACACAGGCACCGTGGGCCTGACACAGGATGAGCTGCTTGTGTCCAAGGGTCAGTTCTCAAGTGGCAGGGAGGGCGTGCACAGGTTCCTAACAGTCTCTGTTCTGGCTGACTGGTAATGAATCATCCTGGAAAGTCTTAAATTTGGCTCAGATGACCTTGACTGGTTTGCAGTGCTGTGATTTTGTGATTTTGTTTGATCTTTTTCTCCTCATCAGAAGTGTTCTTTTTTTTTTTTTTTTTTGAGGGTGGTGGTGATGAAAGCTCTATTTTGAGATCATGCACACAGTATAAAATCCCTCACTTGAACTGTCTTTAGTATAACTAAGTTATGTTATCACCACCATAATTCAAGGTTAGAGCAGTTTTATCATGTCAAAAAGAAACCTTGTACTCATTATCAGTTCCTCCCCAAGCCATTCCATCTCAGCAAACCACAGAGTTACTTTCTCTTTTCCAAAGTCTTTTATATTAAAATAATCCCAGAATTATTTGCTTCTAATTGCCACTCCTTCCACTCCTTGGCCGTTGTTGTTTGTTGTTGTTCAGTGCCGTCGAGTCGTTGGCGACTCATAGAGACCCTATGAACGAAAGTCCTCAACACTTGTGTGACTTTCATCCTTTCTCCAGGTTCATAGGGTTTCTGGAGGCAAGCTATTACAGAAGTGGATGCCATTCCTGCTTCCAAGCTTGTTTTAATCAGGGAGCTTCACCAAATACTGTCCACCATCAGTAGCCATTAACCCACACATTTGACACACCAGTGTCACAGTGTTCAGCCTCACAGCAACCACAAGTTACCTCTGTACAGCAAGTGGAGGTGTTTCCAATTACAAAAGCAAAATATCACATATAGTGAAATGCTACTCCCAAATTAAATCAACAGCACTAGTCCTATTAAGTCCCCAAATGCAGGGGAACACATTGGAACATTAGGTGAAGCACATGCGCACTAAGTCTTTTCCAGATTTACTGCTGGCATCTGCAGTAAAGAGGTGGGATCACTTAGTGGGAAGAGAGTTGTCTGCCAACCCAAAGGCAGGCAGTTAAAATTCACCAACTGCTCCCTGGGAGAGAGATGGACAATCTTCTCTCGAGTGATTCACAGTCTCCGCAAATCCACTGAAGGGTCAGCTATGAGTCGGTTTGATTCAAAGGCAATGAATTTGAGGACCTCCCCACCCCATGAAAACACAAAAGCTGACGTCACTTCTGAGGACTGTTAATGACCAGCCCAGCCCCTCTGAACCCCAGTTCATCAGTCTGCTCACTTCAGCAGAGGATGGCGCAGCATTTACTGATGGGAAGCTTTTGCCAGTAACTAATCACAATTCTTCTCAAGTCAGAGGAGTGACTTTTAATGTCAACTGGGGACAGTGTGCCTGAATTGCAAATGACATTGGCTGTTCTGAGATGGCTTATTTCCACGCTGAAAAGTTT